AAATATGTATTCAGCCTTCCATTTAACTGGTTTGCAGAGGAATGCGGCATACTATCAGGGCATCTGGCACGCTCTTCGTACCATTTGCAGAGATGAAGGCGTTTTTGGGTTGTACAAAGGGCTTGGTGCTACATTACTGGTCTCTGCTTTTCTCTTCTACCTTTCATCTATATTGATCGAACCCTGGCTTCAAAATATTTACGATGCTAATTAGGTGTTTGCTTGTTGCAGGGTGTTGGACCTAGCATAGCAATAAGCTTTTCCGTCTATGAGGCTTTGAGATCTCACTGGCAGACTCAAAGGTAAGTACCACAATGTTTTGATAGCCTACCCTATTGGTAGTCATTCTGTCATTCTTGACTAAACGTATCTTGTCATTGATTTTCTGTTTCCTCTCAGGCCCGATGATCCTACTGTTGCAGTCAGCCTTGCTTGTGGAAGTCTTTCAGGAATTGCATCTTCCACTGGTGAGTACTTTGTATCAATAACTTTAGCTTATTTAGTGCAATCATTTTTTGGGGATTCTAGCTACGTTCCATTTTTCGGCTGAAAACCATGTGGATATTTGTGACCATTTAGTGAAGACCTCTAGTATAGCTGTCCATCTTGCCTCTGCTTGGATTTAGCGGGTTCGAGGCCAACAACAACAACAACAACAAAAAACCCTGTGTAATCCCACAAGTGGGTCTGGGGAGAGTAGTGTCTACGCAGACCTTACCCCTACCTTTAAGAAGGCAGATAGGCTGTTTCCGGTGCGAGGCTACAACAACAACAACAACAACTCAGTGTAATCCCACTAGTGGGGTCTGGGGAGGGTAGTGTGTACGCAGACNACTACCTTCATCTTCTGGATGTGATTTCTTAACCGGCCAACGCTCAGCCCCATACATCATGGCCGGCCTAACCACCGCTTTATAGAACTTACCTTTGAGTGTCAGTGACACTCTTTTGTCACACAATATTCCAGATGCTAACCTCCACTTCATCCATCCTACCCCGATACGGTGCGTAACATCCTCGTCGATCTCCCCTCCCCCCTGGATAACCGACTCAAGGTACTTGAAGCAGTCTCTACTTTGGATGACCTGTGATTCAAGCCTCACATCCACGCCCACTTCCCTCTGCTCAGCGCTGAACTTACACTCCAGGTATTCCGGTGCGAGGCTAATGCTTAATATGAATTGTTGGAGGAATGTGGGGAACGACTTGGTTATAAGTGAAACTACTTAGGATACTTGAATGAAATTGCAGTTCTTAATCGCTCTTTCGTAACTTGTTAATGTGCAGCAACTTTCCCTTTGGATCTTGTGAGGCGAAGAAAGCAGTTGGAAGGAGCAGGAGGACGTGCACGTGTGTACAACACTGGCATAATGGGGATATTTAAGCACATAATCAAAACTGAAGGCTTACGTGGTTTGTACAGAGGGATAATGCCCGAGTACTACAAAGTAGTTCCCAGTGTGGGAATTGTGTTCATGACGTACGAGACACTGAAGAAGCTTCTATCTCAAGGACCGTTTGATTCTTGACGTTTTTCAGTTCTGCACTCTTCCAGTTTTCTGATAAAAAAAAGCCACACAAGGTTCAGTTTTGTTTGAGTTACTAGTTAGGAAGAATTGATAAGGTAATTAGTATTAATATTAATTAAAAGAGAAAACATTCACACGGTAGCAAATTTTGTGGTTGCTGCTGTTAGACTTGCCTTTTGTTGTATAGCCATTGAAAATCACCAAGTGTCCCACATACATTGTATCTCTAGATATTTAGGATGGTTAATTCGTAGGATTTTACCTTTTCTTTGTCATCTTAGATGATTGTATCACCCATACAGTTTTGTTTGTGGGAACCTTTTTTTATTTTCATTTTTTTCCTCTCCATTTTATCTAGTGCTTCCTTTTGGCAAACCTCTGAATCCCTTTAAGGTAGCGTTAAGGACAGTGGTGTATGTCACGGTATTGCTTGGCAATTGTAATATGAGAGGACTCAAAGTTGGTTCTTTTATTCACTTGGTTGCTTGTTGCACGTCGCCATTTGTTTATTAAATTGTCGAAAAAATATCACCAACAATTTCTTTTGTGATATACCTGTTCTCAATTTACATTTTAAAAACTTTCCAATTATATCTGTGTTTTTAGAAGCATTTACACCTGTTGCTGTGAGAATATAGATGCATCTTTCTTTTTTTGGCTGAAGAAGAGACACACACACAGCCGTTACAAAAAAGATTTATTTGGTAGTGTTTTTCGTATTAGTTATACATCATATTCAGTACTATTCTTATACATAACCATGATACTAGCAATACCATGATTTTTAATACATGGATAAGCATGCATAAAGATAGAATTGCCCTTTCAAAACATTAATACATCAAATCCAACGACCGATAAAAAATAATATCAGCATAACTAATCTTAGTATTACTAATATTCAGTACTATTCTTATGCACCCTACTAAATGGCTCTTACTACAACCATATTTAGATAAAGTAACAGCCATATGTTCTCTGAATATGTGTTGCACAAATAGCCCTCCAAAATTATGAAACAATGACTTTCATTTAGAACAGATGTGCGAGTATTTATTATTTTAGTCCATTGTGTATAGAACATACTAAGGTTATTCCAAATTTGTAATAGAAATCAACCATTGCTTCATCTGCCAATATTGAATTGACCCAAGTGCATTTAAGCAACGTTTAGGGTGTTGGAGTTTAGGTGGAATAAACCATAAGATATTCTCAGAGAATAAAGAATCTTCGTATTCAATCGAGTCTATCATATGTGACATTGGGCAAGTTGCATCAACAGCCAATTAGAAGAGATGGCACGCTATAATCCCAAACGAAAACTACTAGATGGGGAAATATATGTAAATTGACCTAAATAATAAGAACTTTCCTCTTGACAGTGGTATATGTAAATCCTAGATGGGGAAATATATGGAATTCCTCTATAAAATTATGAAAGGTATAAAAAAAAAGAAAGAGAAAACACTGAAAAGAGTAGGCTAAGCATATATGGATATGGTGAAATTGAATTCTTGGTTTAGTTGCTGGATGTCGAGCCTTTCTATTCTGGCTGCCTAGAAAGCAGCAGTGTTACCATATGTAACTCAGTGCTCCAAACAACGAAATGAACGTAACTTTGCTGTTTTTATTCATTTTAGAAAGAAACAATTAATCATCATTAATTAAGCAATATTCAGATGCTGACTACTGATGGTGACATACTAGCATCCCTAGCTTTTTATCTTTTTCATTTCCTTTATAGTGGCATTTCAGTGCGATCTTACTACTGTTAGAATATACTATAAGCCATGCGTATTGTTATAGTATTTTTCATGAATAATTATTTATTTACTTGTTCAAATTCAATAAAGTTTCATTTTAAATAGATCATGTGTTGGTTTGTGTGTCCATTGCTTACATAGTAGATGATTTAGTGTATAGAGTTTAGCTTATACACGGAAGATTAAATCATCGGTTCTTGTAAGACATAAAAGTTAATGTTCACAATCTAATGATGGAATTGGACAAATCATCGGAATGATTGTAGCACAAGATTAAATATAATTTATCTTGATTATGGGAATGGTTTAATTCCAACTTCTTGTGCTAGTACATTTTGTATGTATTGAACGGATCAAGTAGAGATGAGTATTTTATACTGACTTTATAAAATAATTTCTCTAGTCCATTTAATGTACTTATACTCTTAATCCTGATATAATTATTATTAGTTGTGTATGTCACTTGTTGTTTTGATTTATTAAAAGGCGAGATTCTTTCGCGAGTCAATAAGCCTGGTAAATTGGATAACAATGATATACATTGGCGAAGTAATAATTAGTTGATGGAATCCATGTCTCAATTTTGAGATTGATGATACTCCTTTATGAAAGCTTATAAGTTTTCATGTGTAAACCCGGCCGGTGGATTTTGTATCCGACACATGAAATAAGTTAAGTGTAAGTCTAAAGGAAGTAATCAATAAATTAAATAGTCAGTAATTTAATTTGATTGATTAGTATCTGAATCTTAACATGGGGAGTTAAATAAGGTTTTATGGAAGAATTTCGAAATTGAACTAAGGAGTGCAATTACGAATTTTTAGTGGAATAATTCGTAATTTATTATGATGGAAATTAGTTTCAGAATTTCGAAATTAATATCATAATAGGAAGCCTTGTTAATTAAATTCTGTGGTCCCTACTGTGCCTAAATAATAGAAAATAGTGGAAACTGTTACTTAGTGGGAAAGAAAACGTGGAAACCGTCCCTTAGTGGGAGAAGGAAACCTAACAGGTTTTGAAAACGGTTTTGACCTAAAAAACGCAGCTATATATATGGATATAAGGGCTGGACGTTTTTTACATGATTCTGACTGCGGTTTCTACTAGAATTTTGCCCACCCAAAATTCTCTCTTTTTCGGTTATTGTTTGGGTAACACAGTAGAAGACTGTGGAAATCTGCTAGTGTGTTTTCAATTGATGAACTGGAGAACGACCTAGATTTGTTGTGTTTACGCTTCAAGAGGTAATCCTAAAATCTCCATACGTGCTAGTTGTTTAGATTACACGTGAATAAGATTCTGTTATTGATTCCGCTGTGGTATATATTCCATCAATTGGTATCAGAGCTTACTCACGTCTAATTAAATAATTAGGNTCCATCAACTACATGCAATCATCCACCTAACTCTTTGGTTATTCAATATTTGTAAAACATCTTATTTTTCCTAAAGGGGCATCTCATTATCCTTTTTACTTTCCCAAGTTCTATTTTTGTTGACATGATTGATACAGCTATGTCCTATAACTTAAGAAACACAAAAATTAAGTTGAAAATGTTGATAAAAAGAATAAGGTATACGTTGATTTTGATGTGATGTATACCATACGGAACTTTTAATTTGTGCTAATGTCTTTTCATTTTTTGGTAAGGTACAGTAACACAGGGTGGAAGATGCGAGGAGGTGATAAATTTTTAATGAGATGCCTGGTACAGCATCGTATTTATGGACGAAACCATGGTTATATAGTTTTTTAATATTGAAAATAACAAAGAGCCTTCAAGAGTCTCGCACCGAAAATGAAAAAAATAACTCTTACATACTTGTCCATCCTTTTCCTATTAAAATCTCGTCCATTATATATGATATTTTATAAAATATACTCAGTATATATAGAATAAAAGTTCTCTGAGTCTAGTTTCCAGATCTTTAAACCGTTCATCATTTCAACATTCCTATAGAGGACTATTCCGATATTTCTCGCTCTTTTCATACAACCCTCGCTCTTTTCACACAGTTAAAACTTCTTTATAACAATCTCGTTTATTCCGATATTTTGTGACCGCTACAACATAATACTATTATAGAGGACATATATTATAACATAATATAAAAATTTGTATAAAGAAAACTTGGCTATTATAGTAAATATTGTTATAGAGGATGAGCAGCGGGGGAGCTAGGGGGCGGAAGAGGAACCTTGACTTCTTCGCATTTTTATTTTTTTTGAATCCCTTGATAAAAATCTTAACACACCACTAAAAATGACCGTGATAGAGAGGTCTAATTGTATAATGATAAAAATCACCGTCTCAAGCCTTCTTCTGTTTTCCTTTTACTTTCCTCATCAAATTTACGACCACCAAATATCAGATGGAACGACATGACATGCATAGCTTGACACTTACACTTCATATCCTTACTCTCAACATAACTTACTGCAAGAAATTAAAAGATGATGCAGCAAAAGAGCCCCTAATTAGTCATTGTTCATATCCCTACTAAGCTAAGGACTGTAATAATGTGGCTTGTACACCGTCCATAGACGAATATGCTAATGGGTTAGAACTGATAAAATTCATCAGATAGGATGCATCCCATTCTCTTTCACAATATTCCTCCAAAGAGACCCCACATGTCTTCCCTCTTGAATTCAAGATGCTACAAGCAATGCCAACGAGTTGGCTATATAAATTTTCATTGTTTATGTCACTACAATGAAATCTCAATATATGCGTCCCAATATATATTATAAGGATTTATCATAAATTCACTAGTTTCATACAAGGGCGGATGCACATGGGAGGGGTGGGTTCATGTGAAACCGTCCTCCTCTCCCTAAATCATGTATAGTAGTGTTAAATTTCAGCTCAAATATTTAAATTAACATGGGTGAACCCAAGCTCAAGTGAACAATTTAGTGTACTAGTAAGGAGGTGCACCTTCTACCTTTTAGTCAGGGGTTCGATCCCTTTGCTTTTCTTCTTTTAAATTATTTTTGTGAGCACGTGATTTTTGTTTTACGCGACAATCGCTCCAAAAGAATTAAAAATGTATGTG